TTGAGCCTGGGGTCCAGAGAGGAAGAAACTTTCCCAAGCAGATCCTGCTTTCTGTTAGCCTGGCCTCAGCAGATGCTGCAACAGCTGGAGCCAGGAGCAGATTGGTGGGGTGGGAGCTGATGTTGGAGGCGGCTTGCAGGCCCCACAGTGTGTCAAAGGCCTTGCTCTTGGTGGGAGCAACAGGATATGCCAGGCACCAACTGCTCCTCCAGCCAGACGGTCTGCTCCGGAAGCTGTTCTAGCTCTTTCTAGCCAGAAGTGTGAGCATCCCTGGCTGGAGTTCTTCACTCCCAGCCGAAGCGCAGCCTCATGGGACTAGAATGTGGATGAAGATGCTCCGGGCTCACTGGCTCAAGGACTTACAAGCACGCTTACCATCCCGTACCTCACCCCTGCTCTGTCGCCAGTCCATCTCTGCCCCGACCTAATCCCATTACACTACCATCTACTTCCAGGACCTCACAATGCTTCTGTTCTCCCCCAGTAGAGGCTTCCTGCCTCTCCCAGCCATCCTGGCAAACAGTCATCAAAACTTCCACAGGTGCAAAAAGTGTCCTCAAGCGTCGCCATGAGCGCTCACCCCATAATGTTCCTCGGTCCGTCCCCAAACACCCTACGCTTCCCCATGTTTCTGTCCTACGGACACTGGACTCCCTGGTGAATAGAGTAACACAAACCTCTCCAGAAAGCCACTTCTTTCCCCTCCTGAGGTTCCAGGAACTCAGAGAAGAGCAAGGAAACTCTAAATGATCATTCATTCATCCCAGAGTCTCCTCTGCCCGCTGCCTGGTTTCAAACGCACAGGCCCTGCTTTATGCATAGTTGGGCTAGTCTACTGTCGTCTGATATTAAAGCAGCTCAACTTAGGGCAGTCCAGCAGGCCACGATGATGGTGTGCTGACCCCACACAGCCTTCACACCAGGCATCAGGGAGGAGGATGGGGGAGTGAGCGGACAGAAGACGGTTCCTGCCCTGGAGGGGCTTACAGGCCACTTTCAGAAGCAGGGCGCCACGGAGAGCTACCCTGAGCAACTACACAGGCAGACAGCCTTCTGTTGCCCCAAGGGATGCCTTGGGCTCAGCTGCCAACCCACTGGGCCAAAACAGACTGGAAACTCGGCCCGGCCCTAACCCTTGCCAGCCTCGTCTTATAAACAGAGAGGTTGAATCTTCTTAAGCATGTTTTTAATTACTGCAAAAATGTTTCATCCTGAGCGGCAGTGTGGTTCCCAGTTACCCACATGCAGATTGATGCTCTCGGTATGAAGCGGTTAGCACAGACATTTAAAAACAATTAGGATCGTGGTAAGGAAGCTCAGGAAGAGCTCGTTAGGTGGGGGGGGGTGGGGGGGGTGGGGTGGAGGGCGGGATGGGAAGTCAGGCATCGTGCTCACCAGATAACTAAGTTATTTGTACATTTGATGGGAAGGGAGAGGAATGATTGCTTTTTTTTTAATATTTCCCTTTTGATGTCAGACAGGAGCTCTGGACACAAATATACACACACGCATACACATGCACACAAACACACACAAGGAACATTTCCAGACAACCAGACAAAGGTGCCAGGAGCGTACTGGCAAGGAAGAGGGCTGCAGAAGGCAGGTACCTGCCGGTGAGGCCTCTGACACCCAATTAGAGCCGGTTCTAGAGGTGTGGGAGCGCAGGGCCCACAGGGAGGGGTGTGGCACATGCCTTCAGAAAGTGGTCCCTGGAACCAAGAAAATGCCTGGTTGCGGGGGTGGAGGGGAGGGGACTGCCTCTTGGGGAACGAGAGGACTCTAGCTACACCTGCCTTGTGTCCTCAGCTAGTGCCAGGTAGGAGGCAAAACCCTCAGGGACTTTTGTAGGGTGGTGGGTGGAGGAAGGGAAGGGAAAAGGAAGAAAGATCTCTTGCCAGTCTTACTATGGAGTTCCTCTGTTCCCTCAAGAGTCATTGCAAGATGCCTCTGAATCCTGATTGAATGTCTGCACCCAGGTCTCCAGTGGGCAGTGAGATTTGTGTGTCTCATCCAACACCTGGGCTTACTTTTGCCTGCCCATGGGAGGCCTCCAAAGACAGTGTTCATGTTAACCCACTTTGTTCATAATCATATATATATATATATATACACACACACACACACACACACACACACACACATATATACATATATATGTGTGTGTGTGAATATATATGTGACTATATATATGAATATATATGAATATATGAATATATGAATATATATGAATGTGTATATATATATATATATATATATATGTATATATATATTCATTCACTCCAACATTTACGGAGGGGAGCATGCCATGAAGTATGCCAGGAGTGGATGGAAAGGCCCAGAAAAAACTGGGTAACCACAGTCAACAGTCTCAACCTCTGCTTCCATCCACGGGCCCCTCCTGGGCCTTCTCATCATGTTCCCACCACAGGCTGCTCCCTGAGGTCCATCACACCATGGAAAGAGCATAGGCTTTGGAGGCAGTCTGATCAAAGTTCAAAACCTGCTTCAACCACATACCAGCTGGTAGCCTTGGGTAGTCACTTAACTTCACTGAGGTTGTTTCACTCCATAGATTAGGAGCTGATGGGAAGATTAACTCAGATGACATAGAATGTAGAGCAATTCTAACACTAATGACACTGGCATGGGTAGTAATAATGTCACATGGATCTCGTTGTACCTCTGCTTGTCCTCACAGATCTGAACGTACCAGCCACAAAGGTCTTCTGAACTTACACATTCCCTAGGGTCTGTGTCTCAGGCCAATGGCTCTCAAATTCTTTCTGATCATGACCTAGTACAACCTCTTGGCCCAACTTGGCCCTACATTTTCCCACTTACTGGAGATTTTTCCAGAAATGGTGTCAAAAAGTTTCAGGTACATTAGACACATTACAGTCTTGTTCTCTGACAATGCCAAAAAATATTATCCCAGTCAATGAGGAGAATGGTACTATTTTAAATAAGTATCAGTGACAACGTGCCTTTCAACTCAGCTCTCAGTATATAAGTGAACCACAGACCATGCTCCCAGATTTATTTCTAGAAGGCTTCTCGCTGAGCCCTGGGTCAGAAGCAGAGAACTCTTAGCAGAGGGCGTTAAACAACCAGCGGGAGCCAGCTGCTGCCCCTCTGCGGGGGCGGATCCAGACCCCAGAGCTCCCCAGCGGTCAGCCCAACTATTTGCAAGCACCCAAGACACTGGGAGTATTTTGGAGCGCTGATGACTTTGTAATTTGCAGAAACGCTGGTATCTCCATATGTCGCCGCAGAGTGGGATTGTCTCACAACAAGCATGAGAGAATCGCACCTCGGCGAGTTCAGTAAATTCGTCTGTGAAACATATTTCAATTCCAAAGGCAATTTCCTAATTAGTAACAACACACAAAGCCTTGGCAATCTGAAAGCAGTTCTCTCAGCAGAGCTGGGTCTCAGGCTAAAGTAAGCCTGAGAATGAGGCATCAGCTGCATCCGTGGTCCAAGACATGGGCTTCTGAAAACCCGAAGATCTTGCTTTGGAATCGAGTGGAGGCACACAGCAGCCAGGACGCTTAGGAGCAAACAAAGCTGTGGATCTTCCTCTCTACCAGACCCATTCTCTTCCAAGCTGAGCTGGGAAAAAGGTGGGCTTAGTATACAGCAACGTGAATTCACTCATTCAACATTCACCAAAGACTTGCCAAGGGTGGGACCAAGAGAGACAGGATTTTCACCCTCCTGGAGCTGACAGAGGACTAGAAAACACAGAAATTGCTGAGTGATTAAGGAGTAGCAGGAAGGGTGGTGACGAGGGTCCTAGCTAGTCTGCAAGGGAAAGAAAGTTTTCTCAAAGGAAATGATGCTTAAGCATAGTGTGACAGATTTGAACTCCAACCATATCACTGTTTTACATGTCAACTGTGGCAAGTTAATCATATTCTCTGAGTCTCAGTATTTCCACCTATAAAATGGGCACATGATAACTACTTCATAGGTTCACTATAATGATTAGTTAAGATAATGGACTTATGGTGCCTGGCACAAAGTAAGGCACTTAATAGGTGTTCAATAAAAAGCAAACAAAACAACGCCTCTTGCTATGGTTTCAGAAGGCCTCTCAACTTGTGGCTGAGGAGATGCGCAGGGGGCACAACTCAATCTCCCACCCCACCCATTCCCAAAAGAGTGCTGACACATTATGTAAGCGGGCTGGTGGGGACCCAGCCAAGAATCCCAAACCCTGTTTCTAAAGGGAATCTGTAGCACCTGGGGCATCTCATTAGGAAGCCTGCCTGATAAGAAGGCCTCTGTAAGTAAATCAGATCCCATCAAGTCTTCCAAGCCTGGAACTGAGCTCATGAAGGTGGCCACCATGAAGAGGAAGACCCAGTGTGAGGAGAAAAGACAGCTGCAAGGCTGGAGGCCCTGCCTTTGTAGGAGCAGCCGTGTTCCCCCACCTCTAACTCAGGGTCTCGGACCCTCAGACTGTGCTCCCAGCTGTACCCTTAACTCAATGGTCTATATCACCTTCCCTTCCCAAGTTCTCACCTTTCCCATCCCTAAAACGGGAAGAATCTTTTCCTATTTTTTCCCCAATGTCTTATGCAGTTTGTAAATGCCTGCGTGGAAATGTGTGTTAAGCTCTCAAGAAGAAATCCCAAGGAGTGTCACCTGCAGCCAATCAGTTCTTCCTTTTCTCCCTGCAAAGCAGATGGCAGCACAGGGACCCCCAGGGACGGAGGCATCCCCTTCTCTCCACCTACATTCCCTAGCTGCGTTCCTGGGCTCTGATGAATTCCGGGGGTGCACCCAAAGCACCTCGGGGACTCACTCTGCCCCTCCTCCCTTCACATCTCATGTCATTCCATCTCCCTTCCCAGGGGCCACACTCTCACTCACTGATCCCAGAGCCCTGAGCCCACTCCAGCTTCTGGCCGCCACCATCAGAGGCCCTGGGCATTTGATTCCTCGCTGCACGGGGCTGCACGCTGATACATTTGTACCACAGGAAGCAGAAAACTAGTTTAACATCTCATTTATTTCATAGAGGAGAAAGTAATTCCCTGCTGAATGATTGTCCCGAACCAACAATTCAGAGAGGAGGAATTGACAGGGCTGCCAAGGACCGGGGTGCGTTACTGTAGTGCCGTTATATAACAGAGCTGGAACCTTTTTTCTCTCTCCTGTTAGCCTGAAGAGAAAAGCCATTAAATATGATTAAGGTTAAGAGATTGCTAAAATTACAAACAGCCGCCATTCAATTATTTTGCTCTATAAAATGCAACACAGATTGGAGTTATTTCTCTGAAATGTGTTTTTAGAAAATAACATAACACAACTAATGTGGTTTGATCTAGCAAATCAGGTTCCAGATACCACTTCTAATGCAAAGCTAAAAGGTTCATAATTTAACTCAAAGTTTGTAACTTAAAGTCATCAGGTGCTTACTTTATAGAAAAGCTTTATAAAGAGAAAAAAATCAATACCATGCCAACTAATATTCCGAAGTCATCTACAGCCTGAGAGTCAATCAATTTTATCACCCATTAAAGGAATAGACAGAAAAATATAAAAATAAAATTCTTAAAGAGCCAGCAACAACTTGGCCTAACAGGTCCGGAAGTTGAGGGAAGGAGAGAGCACTGGGCAGGGCGGTGGGGAGGGATGGGGGATGGGGGAGTAGAACTCTCCAACATTTTGTCAGATGTCACGGGGCCCAAGCTGGGGACTGAGGGTGTTTGTCCACAGGCAAGGCAGCAGGGAAATGGAAACGAAACTCCTCCAAATCTGTTCAATCCATATGGCTCCAGAGACTATTCCTTGTGGCAGAGAGAAGTCTGTGAGGACAGCCTCTTGCTGCCCCTGGACTCACGGTTCACACAGCAGATGACTTACTCTGGGCTTAAAAAGAATAAAAAGCTCAACTACACTGAAATGAATTTTCTGTCCAGTTTATGTTGAATGTTAAAATAATTGGAAATGCAGAAAAACCTCTATGCAGATATATTAGTGGCTGGAGACTTCTGGTTATTATGGTTAATAAAACACAAGAATGATATTACACTCTGCTCACAGACTCTAGTCCACGACTCACCGTCCCTCTAGACAGAGTATAAGCCATTTAGGGGAGTAAACTTTGTACACAAGCTAAACACATAAAGCCATGTATTAGGATGGACAAAACATCACAGGCCAAATAAAAGCTAGCTAAATGCCATATTCCCGAGGGCAGCTGAGGTGAGCTTCTACTGTCAGGGACCACACATGGATTTTTCTCTCAGCAGTGTCAGCAACTAAAGAACAGCATTCTTGCACAACTGGTGGCCGAGAGGGAACCGGACAGGTTCTGTGCTCTCCGACCACGTTTTCAAGCCTCGCTCATACCCAAAAATCGTAATACAGTGGACATGAACAGTCCTCTACGAGATGGAACAGAGGCAACGAATGTCAAAGGTTTGAGAGAGAGGAGGCTCCAGGGAAAGGGGATGGACCACTTTGCGCAGGCTATTAGGTACAGGGATGAAGTTCTCTAAAGCAGAAACAGAAAAACACTAAGGCCAGAAAAGGATTTCACCTGATTTGTTAATATTATGTAGATAAAGAGAAAACAGGACTAAATATTTTTTCATGAGCAGAGTCCCTGAAAATCAATGACAAGTGGCCATTGGGGACAAGGCAGGGACACAAAGGCTGTCCTCACCCAAGATGCTTTCAGCTCCCCAGGGGCCCACGCCCACACACACACACACACACACACACACACACACACACACACACCTTCCAACTCCCATCTTGCAAACTTCTTACGTTTATTCATACTGCTTGTTGAGCACCTACAATCTACACTAAGCATCATGTTAGGACTTTAGTTCCTACATTCAAGCAGCTATTTAGTGAGGGAGAGCTACAGATGGACCAATAATTATAAATCAATATGATAAATGACAGAGATGCAAAAAATATACAGAGGATGATGCCCTGACTCGGGAGAGTTGGAAGAGGTTTCATGGAGAAGGGAGGCGCTCAGCCTGGTCTCAAGGGTGGGGTGATATTAGCCGGGTAGGGGGGGCAGACAGAGGGAGGCAGTGGAGGGCCTTCCAGAATGGCAGAAGATGAGTCCAGAAGGATAGACTGAAGCCAAATTATAAAGATCCCTGGACACCACCCTAAAGATGACGGAGAGCGCCTGGAGGAAGTTTCCAGCAGGGCAGTGACATGATCACGTGTGTGTCTGAGCAAGACAGCCCTGGAGGCAATACGGTGGATTGAAGGAGAGGGTGGGATGAAGGCAGAGAGAACAGGTTGGAAGAGAAGAGGCAATGATCCCCCAGAGAAACCACCGGGGTCTGAGCGAAATCCGTGGCTGTGGAGACAATCAGGCAGTGACTGATTTAAGAGGCATTTAGACAGCAGACTCTCTGGCACTTGGTGTTGATTAAATGTGAGCAATGAAAGAAAAGGAGAATTCAGTTATGCATCTGCAGCAGAGATATCCAGCAGGCATCTTGGAAATAAGGGTATGAGGCTCAGGAGGGAATTCGGGGCCTCACAGGTACCACAAACTCTACTTGAGGTCACAGAGGGACAAGGCCATCCCACGTCCCGGAGAAGGACAGTCACAGATCCCAGATTCATGGGCACGTGTGACCCTTTGCTGGGGCCAAAGTCCCTAACTCCACATCAAAGCAGAGATGGTGTGAAATGAAAAAGGAAAAGAAGATGGGAAAACACAGGTCTCTGTGGCAACCGTGCTCTCTGGGCCTCCGTTTCATCCGCGAGATGAGATGGTTGTAAAACACAGGGGAGGTACACCGGATCAAGGGGTACTGTTTTAATGAGTTCATAAGTAAAGTCCCTTAAAAGTCCAGAAGCAGAACAGGGTGCTTGGGGCCCAAAACACCAGAATCAGGGTGATGTGGTTACAGATTCCCAGCTTCTCCATGACATGGACCCAGGACACTGTTTTACTAGAGGGGTTCAAGGCGATCAGACAGAAGAGGTATCAAATCAAAAACAGGTAGGGGGCGCCTGGGTGGCTCAGCTGGCTGAACATCTGACTTCGGTTCAGGTCATGATCTCACAGTCTATGAGTTTGAGCCCCGCATCAGGCTCTGTGCTGACAGCTCAGAGCCTGGAGCCTGCTTTGGATTCTGTGTCTCCCGCTCTCTCTGCCCCTCCCCCACCCATCCCTTGTCCCCCCCCCCTTTCTCTCTCTCTCTCTCTCTCTCTCTCTCTCTCTCTGTGTCAAAAATAAATAAACATCAAAAAAAATTTTAAAAAAACAGGTAGGGAGTTGGATCATGGGGTATTCAGCTCCCTGGCACCAGGAGATATTCTGGGCTCTGCTAGGCCCGTATGTAGGTTTATCCAGCTCTATCCACCTTACCCAGGGCCATGGATGGACTCCTCATCAATTTCTGCCACATTCAGCCGGCTCGGGGACAACTGGAGCTGGAAAAGAGGTCTCAGGTCCTGCACCCTGCATTACACAGGAGATGCTCAGACTTTCCAGCAGCAGATGTCCTGCCTGGGCCCTGGTAAGGGCTCAGCCATATCTCTACTCTGCCTCTTCAGCACCTTCTGACTGAGCAGGGGCAAGGTAGGCTTTAGGTGATGAGTCCCGAAAGCTCTGCAGACTCGGTGTGCTTTCAGAGGGAACACAGAAGACCCACAGAAGGCTCCAGCGGAGTCTGCATAGAAGGTGAGTGGAAGAGTGAGTTGCCAAGGGCACTGAGCACCCATTCACCTTTGGCAACTGCATTTGACCTCAAGGCTGACCTCAAGGCTGTCTCGGGAGCATGCTATTCAAATTCCCTCTACTCTTCCAGGCTCGATGAAATATTTTAGGGGAAGAAAAAAAGACAAAGAAGTGCCACAGCCACGGGTTTGTCTAAAACTATAGTCAGCCACAAGAGACACCTGTCCTGCAAGAAAGTTCTTACTGTGCCAGAGTGGCTAACCAGGCATGCCTATGCCTGATTTTATTCCAACCCTCCAAACATCACCTCCCGCCAGCCACCTTCCATGACACTCGCTCATCCACCCACTTACTTGCTTCTCTGCACTTGGCCAACTTGAGCCCAGGACCAACAACTGGACCCACATGGTGAGAGGCGGGCTCGCTGCTCCCCAGGAAAGCGAGAAAGAAAAGATGTTAGCACACTGCCAAGGTTTCTGTTGTATAATGTTGTGGCAGGCGAGGCTGGGGCTCCTTTATATACTTAATCATGTTCCATTTCCAGCTGACACAACTCAACACTTTATGACACAGCACCACTTAATAAGACTCACTATCAACTTAGGAAGGGGGATGATAGGCTGGGGGAGGGAACAAAGAGGGAAGATGCTGAATGGAAAGGATGGAAATGATAGGACTTTTTTAAAAAACCAGGACGTCTGTTGTCAGTTTAGATTATAGTCTAACAACCAGGGCAGGTCCTTAGGGGTTAGAAGCATCTCCCAGGCAGAGCAAAAGCTTATGTACAGAGGCACTGAGCTGGAAGGAGCCAAATCCTTTCCTAAGAAAAAGGGATAGCTGTGGGCATAGGGTCGGGATGGCATTTATCTTGGCTTCTGAGAGCAAAGAGACCAAGGAAAGCAGTGGTTCCTTTTCACCATTCCTGACCTGGGCAGCTGTCCAAACTTCTATCCAACCAAATGACTCCAACCAGTCATTTCACTGAAGCTAAGGGGAGCATTTTGTCTTTATAAAATGTGCACGCCAAATAGTTGCCGGCCTCACACCGGGCAGCCTGGAAAGAGTTGTGGACCTGACAACAAACACTGGTTCTAGCTTAGAGATGATCAAGAGCTGCCTTGAAGAGAGAGAAGTTTAGAGCACTCACTTCTAAGGAGGCTTCAACATGGAATCACGGAATTTTCTTGTTTCACCCATTGGAAAGGTGGGCGCAAACATACACACGGCAAAGACATAACTCTCAGTGACCCAGCCAGGCCCCAAATCCGGGTCCAAATCCTCATGGCACTGCACCTTCAACAATACCTCACTGCCTCTGCAGAACGAGGGTGCGTCTGCAAATGACTTCAGAGGCATCTGCTGGTCCATCTGTCCATTCATCCTTCCTCCCTCCCTTCTACAATACGAGGCTGGGTGTGTGCATGGGTTAGTGCAGGGCAGGAGCATAAGAGGATGAATCAGACCACACCCTGCCTGGCTCCCTGCTCTCCTGACTTCCAAGAGTGAAAAGTATCCAGACACGAAGAATACATCCCAGCCCAATATGCTAAGAGTTAGTGTAGGTACATAGCGCTGTATGGTATAGCCTACAGAGTAGGCCAGTGGGATGGGAGTGGAAGGATTTGGGAGGACCTTACTAAAAAAGGCCCGATTTGAATTGCTCTAATAAACAATAGGTGGTAGTCAATCACAGGGGAAAAGAAGGCATGCTAGGTAGAGAGACCCCCAAAATGCTCCACAAAACTCTCTGAGCCTTTGGCTTTAGGTGCCCCATTCTGTTCGGGCTCTCCTGCCCTTTAGAGCACTCCATGGAGACTCTCTCAAGGGCAATCTCATAGTCATGCCACAACTGTAAAGCATCTATAGGATTTGGCAATGAAGTAACCATAAGACACCATCGTGACCCAACAGCTAGGTCACATCTACCTGCCACTTCACTCTCATAGCACCACATCTCACATTTAGTCATGTCGCTGTATAAAGGTCTTCCTGCCCTACTAGATACAAGGAAGGTCCTAAACACCAGGAAGCGCTTGGCTGTGTTCCCAACACCCAGTGTGTGTGTGGCATATAGTAAAGGCTCGGTTAATACTGTCCACCCGAAGCATGAGTCAACAGCGGAGCAGAAACTTATTCTCACAGACCGGAGAGCAAATGGAATAAAAACCAGGACAATAAATTTTGATTATTCCTTCAATGAAGTGTATGGTGGAAGGGAAGAGAGTACAGAGAGGAGAAACGCAGGGTTTCGCGAGGGTCTTCGGAGGGGAAACTTTTTCAACTTTGCTCTCAGAAGAGAGGATCAGAGTGTCCCCCCCTTGACAGCTTTGGTCCCCCAACCACTCTCCATAGAGCCCAGGGCACATCTTCCCACCCCGCCAAAAAACACCTGTTTGAAGGTCTCTGTCCCTCTCTCTGTCCCATGATACCCTCCCCATGAGCTCCCTGCTCAGAAGCATCCAAGCCCAACCCCCTCAGGTGTCAGCCCATCTGCAAAGCCCTTTCCCTGTTGTATTTTAGGCCCCCTGAGCAGGTGCCCGGCTCACAATACCTCAACTCTCCTTTAGGGAGAAGATAAGTCACTGGAAGCAAAGCTCAAGGTTTTCAGAGGCCTGAGGCTCCTGGGCACTGAAAGCACTGATCTCTCAGACCTGGGTGTTTCCTCCAGGATGGGCACTGGCTCCTCTTACCTTCACTATCACAAACTGCTCTGGGCGCCTGGGTGGCTCAGTTGGTTAAGCATCCGACTTTGGCTCAGGTCATGATCTCACAGTTGGTGAGTTCAAGCCCCACATTGGGCTCTGTGCTGACAACGCCGAGCCTGCTTTCTTTTTAAAAAAAAAAAAAAAAAAAAAAAAAAGCCTGCTCGATGAACCCGGGAGCTGGGTTGGCAACAGCTGCCTGGCCCCTCCCAGGCCCCGCCTTTGCGGGCTGGACGGCCAGCCCCTCTATCTAGCCCCCACTCCCCTGTGTGACCCCAGGACTGCTTTCCAAGGCCACATATCCAGTGCCTTTTCCCTCCGCCTGACTGGAAGAAAAAAATGGACTCTCTGCTCAAGAGCGCGGGAAGCATGGTGACTACCCATCACCAAGCCACATCAACAGAGAGGAACTGGTAAGGGCTCATAGAGAACGAGAGCTTACAGCATGGAGCATCAGCCCTTTTTGTCTGGATCCACAGAACGACCCCACCAGCAGAAAGGATAACGATCCCGTCCTGATGCTTCTCTGAAGACAGAACCACCACTATGGAAAACTCTGGTAACCTCATGTAAATTGAAAAGGGAGTTCCCCGATTCTTTTTCTTTCCTGAATGATTGGTTGGGAAAACTTGGCCTATAAATGTGCATGGAAGAATGGTGTTGTCTTGGAGGTGAGCATGATGTCATGGATAGAGCACAAACTTCAGAGATCATTCTAGAGCAAATTCTTCACCTGTTAGTAGCTGTGTGCCTCAGGGCAAGTTCCTTGGTCTCTCGGACCCCAAACTGCTCATACACACAATGAGGGTAACGATAGCATCTCACAGAGTTGTTGAGAGGGTCGGAAAGAACACAGGGGAGGCACCCCACGCTGTGCCTGGCACACGGCAGGTAGCGGCACATCAGACCATGTTATTATGACGAGAATATAGGCCTGAGATCAGGCCTGAAGACCAGCACAACGTGTCACCGCCCCGTGCTGCCTCACGCCTCCCTTCCCCAATTTGCCTGTGTGCTTCAGAGCGACCAGACTTGCAGACAGCCTGGGGGTCAGGACCAGGAGTGGCAGCCGAGGGGGGTGGAGAAGGGACGGCATGTCCCCCCAGCTCACCCTTCTCTCGCTAACACGACAACGGCAATCAGCTTCTCCTCTTCCCTAACCTGTTTCCATGGTTCCCACCCAGACTGCCTGTAAAATCTGTCACACTTTTAGCATAATATGCAGCGAACACCACAGCAAATAGCTCTGTGTCAGCAGCAGGGTCCAGGCCAGGCCCTTCCTCCTGTTTCCCGGGGAAGCTTCTGGCCCGGGGGGCCAGTCTGGGCACCTGAAGCTCGGATCTCCTTTGAGTGCTCCACTCTGTCCAAATTACCTGTGCTCGCCAGGTCCCTCTCACAGGTGGACCCATTAGCAGCCTTGCGTGTACACCTGTCAGCCCTCTAATTACACCCTTCCGTGCAAGGCTGGCTGGGAGAGTTCCACGCTTTCTGCCGGGGATCTTGCTTCATGCTGTTGTCAGAAAAGTTGTGGCGCAGCCCGACTGTCCGAGGGTAGCTGCTGCCCCGGGTTGATTATTTGTTTTTCATTTTTTGTGGGTTTGTCTTTGGTTTTGCTTTTTTTTTTTTTTTTTTTTAAGACAAGCTGGCTTTTGAAGGGAGGACTAAAAACAATGTCAAGTTGAAAGAATACAGAAATGAAGCCAGAAAACATGACTTTAAAGCTCCCTTTCCTCATTTATTTGCTGGGTAATCATGAGCACGTGGTAGAACCTCTCTGGGTCTATAGAATGGGAGTGACCATAATCCCTACCCCTACAGACTTGTGACCATCGGACAGGACTATGTATGAGGAGGTCTATCTTCACTACAAAGCAATAAATAAATGTGCATTATTCTTGTGGAACCTTGAATTTTGGACCCGAGACCCAGTTAACTTGTTGAATGACTTCGGAGAAATCACTTAACCTGTCTTCAGTCTCCGTTTTCTTAAGTATAAAACGAGATTAAGAATCTATCCCCTGTCTTCTAGAATTGCTGTGAGGACCAGCCACGATTAAAGACATGAAGTCACTTTGAAAACTATAAAGAGCTCCATACCTACAAGCTGGCGGTGTCCCTTAAGGGAGGCCTGCAGGTAAGAATGCTAGAGCCCTGTGCTGGAAATTTTACCAGCCCCATACTTTGGGCATGTACCACGGAGCTGGGGAGTAGAAACCAGGAGGCAGGGGACAGGCAAGCCATGGAGAGAGTCTCGGTGGGCAGTGCAGAGCCCACAGATTACAACAACACTTACTGGGAGTTTGCCACGTTCTAGAGGACGAACCACATGCTTCGTGTATGTGATCTCACTTCTCCTATTAGCCACATGAGGACTAACAGAACTCCCAATCCATAGATAAGAAACTGAGGCCAGTGGCAGAGCTGGGGATCTACACACACCTCTATCTGATACAAAAGCCAAAGAATAACAACAGCTGCTAACAGTTCTGGAGCGTCTACTATGTGCAAGGCATGTTCTGATGCTTCCCATGCATTTATCCATTTTGTTCTCTCCTGTGGCGTAGGTATTTTATTGTCCTTATTTTACAGATGGGAAAACAGAGGCACAGAGAGTTTAAGTAACTTTCTCAGGATCTCACAGCTAGTAAAACCACCACACTCTTTTTTTTTTTTTTTTAATTTTTTTTTTTCAACGTTTATTTATTTTTGGGACAGAGAGAGACAGAGCATGAACAGGGGAGGGGCAGAGAGAGAGGAAGACACAGAATCGGAAACAGGCTCCAGGCTCTGAGCCATCAGCCCAGAGCCTGACGCGGGGCTCGAACTCACGGACCACGAGATCGTGACCTGGCTGAAGTCGGACGCTTAACCGACTGCGCCACCCAGGCGCCCCGTAAACCACCACACTCTTTATGT